GCCTGAACCCTGTCTCCTACCCCCTTCCCCGCCCTTGTTCTTTCTGAAAAACTTAAGAAACAGTAATGAAAACCTTGGTGTTTCAAACTGCACTTTGTTCTCATGTTCTGCAAAAGACCTCAGACTTGCCGGTAGAAGCAAAAGCCGAGAAAACGATTTCTTAGCCCGGAAGCTCTGTGCACTCCGAAATCGGAGCAGGGATAGAGACATCCGAAGTGTCTCTGTCTTACAGTTTTTGATGTATTTTGTTTAAGGCAGCAGCCGAAGTGCTTTGGGGTATGACTACACCCAAGAGAAGTAAATCCACGATAATACAACTTAACTTTTCTAATTTTGGGGCAGTCACTGATGAATTACCAAATTAGCTTGTATCTTTCCCTCCTAAACATAGTCCCCCTTTTAAAGGGCCTCTCTGTAGCACCATTATAAAGTAATCAGGAGAGTCGTCGTGTTGAAATATTACCAACTTACAAAAAAACAAACATTCACGTAGGTTTTCTTCATGCTGATATTCTCCTCAAGCTTTTTCTTATCAGTAAAACACTTGTATTCCTGTTCCGGTTTTCCCGAATTTAAATAGCAAAGAACCTCATCAAATTTCAAACTTCAAAGTCCGAGTTGAGTTAGAATAGAAGGAAACTACTGCACATAGATTCTCTCCCATTTCCTTCTGGTTTGGAAGGAATCTCCTTTCCCCCAGTCTGATCTCTTGAGGTTCTGATGGCTTTTTGCAGGTTGAGGAACATGAGAGGGAGTGGTCCTATCAGTAACTAAATTCAGAACCTCCTTTTCCAGAATTCCAGAATTAGCATGCTAACCGCTCAAAGTGATGATTTGATAGAATCCCCAGTATTTTCAACTTTACAGAGACTTTCAGAGAGTCAGGTCGGTACTGAGCCTCAGAATCCCTTAATGGGAATGTATATTCTGCCCTATGGCATAGAACTTCAGTTTTTAAGTGTTTTACTCAGGTGAACACAAATTGGGCTTTAACTGCTTTGATTACGTTGGTGTTTTAAATTTTTAAAGATTATTTTGGTGTCTTTTGGAATACTAAAGGCACAGACCACCTAATGGTTGTTTACCACGCTATCGTTGCTTACAAAGTTTTCCCAAAGACGGCCCTGGTGTAGACCTCACTCTAGCAAACTTTAATTCTAAACCAATGGAACCATCTGTAGTTATAATGAAAAATTGAGCCTTTCAGGTTCATTTAAAGCTTAAAATTTCAGCTATAATGATTGGCCTGTTGCTTTGGTTAACACCTGCTTTTACTGCTCTTTAGAAGTTTAAAAAAGGACCTACCTAGCTAGCCATAGATACAATCAGGAAAAGAGACACTTTATAGCGTGTGTATGTATAGATAGGTCTAGTTTTAGTTACAGATACAGCGGTGTGTATGTTACAGCCTGGATGTATACAGTTTTGCCCAAATCAGTCTGTTCCCATAGACCTGGCTGGATTTCAGAGTGAACGTGTTGATCTCAGGTAGCCCCCGAGGGTGCTTCCCGCCTTGTTTCTATCCATTACCATGTCATTGCCAGTGTTTGGTAATATTAATTAGAATCTTCTTACTTATACGTGGAAGAATTTGTAATGGAGAAAGAAACGTTTGCTTTCCTGAGTGATTCACTTGAAGAACAAAGAGAAATAATACGTAACTACTGTAATCCAGTCAGAGGGATACCTTGAACGTACGCCGGAAGCTACTGCTGATGACGTCAAGAGTATAAACGTTCCTCCGGAATGCAGAGCGTTCACGTGGAGAAAGCGTACATGAGATGGTGTCATAGCGTGTACCAGTTGAACATAGTTATATCTGAGAGGGAGAAATAGTCATAAGAATTTACACCTGAATTAGGTGTGGGTGAAATAGACGAAGTCTAGAAGAGGAAAAAAAAGTAGGGCTTGCCGGCAGCTTTTTAAAACAGCACTTATTGTTGTGATTTTCTTTGAAACACTTCATGGGAGAGTACATGTGGTTCACCCTGACAGCGGAAACCTTTGGGGTGTTTGTTCCCCTAAAGTGAAGGGAAGTAACAATCGGATGGAAGAGTTTGGAAGCCTCTAGGACCGAGGGGATAGTGGAACCACTGGAAGAAGGACTCCAGAGTGCGCAGTGAGACTGGGTGTTAAGTAAGGGCCTCTGAATCTGTTAGGAGAGGAAAATAAATGCAGGCAAATGCTCAGGCCATGGAGGGAGGCCCAACTCATCTAGCTGAATCCCACTGCAAGGCCCTCGGCCACTCGTAATCTGATTTGCCCCAGTGCTAAATGCAGCTCGGGACCGGCAGACTTTTTCTGCGAAGGGCCAAGGGCTAAACGTTTTCGGCTTCGGAGGCCGTACGGTGCCGTCACGCCTGCTTTCAGAAACAGGTGGCAGGCTGCATCGGCTCACAGCCTGAAGGTTCCAACCCCTGATCTACACTGGTTTTTCCTATTAAACGTTGCCTCTCAACAAAAAGCCTAGTCCTGATGGAGCATAGCACCAGAGAGGACCTTTCTGTTACATCCTGTAGTCTCTTAGCAATAAATCAGCCTGAGAATCTGAACTTAAAACATACACATTTACATTCCCCATCAGTCAGATAGCGTTCTCCCACCTTCCTGCAAATATTTGCCCTGTTGAAAGTTACAGCAAAGACCATGAAGTAAGACCGGTCTGAGATCATGTGTTCGTTGCTTACATCGGAGAACGGGTCCCACTGAGGTAGTTTACTCTTGTAATTGTCCTAAATTGGAAAGCAGATCCCTGCGTTGGGTGGAGCTTAATTTTGTGCCAGGGGAAGGATAACATGCAGACCGATGCAGTTTGAAACATTTCTCCTCCCACGTGTGTGTCCGTGTTTGCGTCTGTCCCTGTGTCATTGTGCGTGTACGTCTGCGTGTGGGTGGGTGTGTGTTGGTCCGGCCGTCGGGGGAGAGGTATCTGTAAAGTCAGTTCTCTTCTCTCCTGTAGGGCGGATACGCAGCCTACAGATATGCACAGCCGGCTACCGCGACCGCGGCCACAGCCGCTGCCGCCGCCGCCGCAGCTTACAGCGA